AGATCTACTGCATCCAGGAAAATAAAAGTAGGGTGAAAGGACAGGTTGCATGGAGTGTGTTGACCTACGACAGATGAACTTTGTTCTAAATGCACCGCTTGATATTTTGTCTTAAATAATTAATTTAAGGATTTTATGCATAAAATTCCATAATTTATTCATTAATTAATCAAACTTTCATTGCTAAATTCGTTAGTAAATAACAATAAGATGAGTAATTTGAACTGTAAATGTAGAATTTCAGACTATTTATTTTACATTTTAGACAATTTATTAACTCAGTTTAATTATTTTTTGTAATAAAATCTTTAATAATTAATTAATTTTACGTTTTTAATTAAAAAACATTAAAAAATAATAAAGAAATATAGATTTAATTTAAATTTTAAAAATGTATATGTTTTCGGGTAAATACAAGAATTATTTTTTACTTAAAACTTAATTAAAATTATATTAAAATAAAAATTATAGCATTTTTATTGATGATTTCTTTTTTAATTTTAAGGTAATAGAGAATTTTGTTAAGAATAAAGTTTTTATTTAATAAAATTTGAAATAACAACCAATATAATACAGTAACCTCTAAACAATTGCCACTGACGTTCCTGAAAAATGGCCGCCGTTGAGAGGTTCCCGTTATTGGAAGTTTGACTGAAATATAAAAATAAGAATTTTATAAATTAAATAATTTTCATTATATTCTGATTGATAAGTTAAATTTTTGCATTAAAATTTATTTTAAAATATTTTAGAGATTTTTATACCTTTGGGTAGAAAAGGGGCATTTGGACTGCTTCCGAGTACAAGAGGAGCCTCAAAATTCAGATTTTTTATATAAAAATCTCTTCAGGAAAGAAATACAAGTTAAAATCTGAATAAAATTTCTGTTTTTACTGATTTTATTTATATATTTTAAAAGCTTTTTTTAGGAGGGTGATGCTCTACTTTTGCTATTGATTAGGTCTCGTTTCGCCTCTCTCAGACCGTGGATTTTCATATATTTTTAGGGGCTTTCATCTAAGAATGTCAAAAGTATGAATTTACACAGCAGAATCTGTCATGACAGATCTTAATCTGGCAAATTTCCAAATTTAATTAACAATAATATTAGTATAATAAAAAATTATCTTCCTTTCAAAAATTTAAATCTATAAAAATAACTTATTGTTATATTTTCCCTATTATTTTATTAAAAGATTTTCTTTATTTTGTTCACCACAAATAGATCTATAACAGGGCGTGTTCAAGGAAACTAATCTTACGAGTTCTGCTGTCCTTTGTACCAAAATCTAGCAGTTACAATAACAATTTATACTTAATTTATAAATATGACTTTTCTACATAAAAATTTATTAATTTTTACACAGAATTTTCTAAAATTTAAATATATTATTTTCTTTAGTAAAGGAGTTATGTAGATTGTACATAGAGTTCTATTCTTTATCTTGTAGTAATGTAGATGGACGGATCGATGAAGTAAACGATATCCACTTCATTTAAGTTGAGTCTAAAGTGAAATATCTAACAGAAGATCAATTTAGGACACGAGAAAATCAACAAAATGAAGAAATTTAATGCTCGAGAATAAGAAAAGACAGATAAAATGAATGTAAGACACACCACACCTGATTATCTGATCGATTATGCTGTTTGTTATATCCAAGGACAAATAAGTCATATAAATGCATAAATTTCTAAAATCATATATTATTAAGAGAAAATAAATTTTAATTTTTGGGAAGAATTTTAGTTTTAAAATTGTACGATTTTAGAACATATTTTTCTCTATTAATAATCACGTTTTCCCTTCATCAAGTTTCACAATTTAAATTATATTTAATTAATATAAAATATAGTTAATGAGCTATTTACATACTTAATATATATTATTAATACTTATATTTACATTGAATTTTTATTTAAATTCGATCGAATCTTCAATACCGGCCATCTCTATTAGTTTCAGAAGCAGGCCGTTATTTAGAGGTTATAAAATAACCTCTGAATAACGGCCAGCTTTTATGTTCTCGTCACTGGCCGTTGTTCAGAAGTTCAACTATATATGAATATTCCAGCTATCCGTCAGTTTGTCTCACCTTATAACATAAAATTACAACGTCGATGACCATTTATTTTGTTATATAAAGACAATTTTCATATTTCTTTACAAAATAATAAAAATTAGATTACTGAAGGCGGAGAATAAACTGTTTTTACAGAACATCAAACATTTCTCCGTAGAAATTCGTTAAATTAAGGGATGCATATGAAGCGATATTTTACTTTTATATATTTTAAAGTTGATTATTATAAGTCTTTATTTGTAATTTAAATAATAATAATATTAATTTAAAAGATAAATTATAGAATATTTTAAAATTGGCACGTTACATTTTCATGTACTACGTGTTTTATATTTCAGTAATTTCCATGGAAAATAATAAAAATTATAACAATTTACTCATCTCTTTAAGGATATTCAGCAATATTCCGACCATATACAGTTAAAAATCTCTATATAGCAATGTCTTAAATAGTGCTACCCTCATAAAGCGCCAATGAGTAACTTCTCCAAATTCTTCCGTATCTGAAATGTGCGATATTTCTTAACTTTCAAACTCTTAAAGTCTTTTTTAGATCTCATTATTATACATAATTATTATTGTTTAAGATTCTCCAGTTTAGCGACACACTCGATTTAGTACCAATTTCAGAAGCGAACAAATAGTTGCGCTAAATTGAAGTTTAACTATAATTATGTCAATTCTTTTCTGTATCTAAGTTATATGACCGCAGGAATTTATATTTAGTTATGTTTAAAATTTTAATCCACAGTCCACTTATTGTAGGAAGAATCGCGTTAAAATAATTAAAATAGAGCAAAGACCTTAAATGTTATTTAGAATGTTTGGTCTACATAAATATAACTAATGACTCATTTTTCTTTACATTACGATCTATAATAGGGAGATGATGTAAATCTTCCTATTATGAAAAAGAAGTTAATATACCGGCTGATAATAATTAAAGTACCCCTATTTAACGCACTACAGAGATATTTAGCAGCCAAATGCAATCAAATTTGGTATGGTGACATTTCAGGACACGTGGCACAAAAACAAAAATTAGTACCAAAACTACCACTATGGCATTTTTGGCACCGCAAGCAATAAACATTTTAATTTACAAGATATTATGTTATACAGAGCAATGCAGAGGATTATGTTTTATGTGGTCCTCCATTTTGAAAGTGATGAACTGTGTAATGCTTCTCATGTGCATTGTGAACAGTGTTTTCAACATTGCCAAATTTTCGACGTGTACTGGATAAATCACAAATGCAACTATTTTTTCATTGTTATAATTTTGAATTATTGTTAGCACATCGATTTCTACCAAATATTCTCTTATATATACAGTAAAACCTGTCCAAAACAGACTGTATATATATAAGAACCTGAGTAAAATGGAAACCTGCTTAAACGGAAAAAATTTTCCAGAACGAAACGATTTTCTGTATTAAAAACCCTGCTCAAAACGGAAACCTGCCAAAACGTAAAAATACTCAGTACTGTGAGACTTACACAGGTTTTACTATATGTATAAAAAACATAATATTGATTACTTGTATTTTGAACAAAAACACACAAATAACTTTAAAAAACAGACAAGCACTTGATATTTTAAGTTCTTTTTCTAATGTTTATGATACTGTACATTTATAAGAAGTTCGTGACACACCGACTAAAAACTATTATTCTAGATTAAATATTTATATCATTATTCATACTTTAAACATATGATATTTCTATCCAAATTTAGTTATAAACAATATTATACATCAATAGTTCTTATATATAATGTTTCTTAACCATCAAAAAATGTGCTCTTATTAAAATCCAAGAATAAAGTTTAATACGAATCCACGACTCTGCACAGAGTTACATTAAATAATACAAGGTGCGAGCCTAAATTTAGCAGTCGAAGTGACATCTAACTAAAATTTTTATTTCATATAACGGAGGAAAATTTTATATTAATAAAAATTATGACAAAGTTCGTAAAAATTATTCAATGTTTATTTACTTTTATTCCCAAGAAACACACAATGACTTTATTTTTAAGTTATTTATTTGATTTTCATCAAATAAATTTAGTAAAATTAAACTTTTAATATATTTAAATAAACAAATTTTACTATATCTACTGGTTAAAATTTAAATTATTTAATAAAATTAATTGGAATATTTAATTTTTAAATCGAACTCGTTAAAAATTGTATAAGAGATTACTTGTTGAAAGCTTTAAGAAAAAGCTACTTCATTCACTAGATGTAATGTAAATGTAAATGTAAATTGCATACTTAATTTGTTACCACGAATAATGAAATTTATGAATAGAAGGCCAACGTAGCTTGAAGAAAATTCGTTTTTCGTGGTACATCTTTCCATTTTAACTGTCGTTATACACGAATAAATTTAAATTACGTGAGATTCTCCCTCCAACGTGAAGCACTTCTAAATATAAATACTCATTAAAGTACATTCATCTTTGAGAGAAAACCTTTTTAAAATTTATCATTTAAGAAAAGTAGTTCATTCAGATCACGGTCTGAGGTCATCTTTTAAAGTGTCTCGGCTTTCTTTAATAATTTTATCTAAAACTTTCCTATAAAGATAATTAACTTTTACAACAACGGACATCAAAATGCGGAAGAGAAATAAAAGATAAGACACATGGGAAATTTTTCTTTTAAATATATATTTTTTATTTAAACAAAACAAAATTATTATACACAATTTTGAATCTGCTTAGAAGGAAGAGAACTGTTTCTGGAATCTTAAGGTTTTTTTCACAAAACGCTGGGATTTCGTCTGGTTAATTTTCGTGTTGCTTGAAATTTGCTGTAAATATGTTAACATTATTATAATAAATATTGTTTTATTAAAATTGTAATATTTTAAAATAACTCACGTTGAAAGTATTTGTAAAGGAGTTATCTAATAGCCGCTACCACCGTAACCGCCTCCTCCATATCCACCTCCTCCGAATCCACCACCTCCACCAAGTCCACCACCGCCGAATCCTCCTCCTTTTACGTGAGTTACACCAACACTAAGGAGCGCAACACTTTTACCGGCACCACCGCCTCCTCCGTAACCGCCGCCTCCGTATCCACCACCTCCATATCCGCCGCCACCGTAGCCTCCTCCGCCGTATTTACCACCTCCAAATCCTCCACCACCGAATCCTCCACCTCCGAATCCACCACCTCCGAATCCACCACCACCATATCCTCCTTTTCCAACTGCTAGGCTAACAGGAACGGCTAAAACAACGGCATGTTTCCCGCCTCCGTATCCTCCACCTCCAAATCCTCCACCGCCGAATCCTCCACCACCAAATCCTCCACCGCCATATCCTCCACCGCCGTATCCACCTCCACCATAACCGGAAGCAGATGTCAGTAGATCCTCTACTTTCACTTTCTCTGCTTTTTTAGCAGAAACCGCTAAGAATAATACGCTGAATACTACGAAAACCTGAAACAAAAGAAAAAATTTTCAAGTGCCAATGCTAATATGTTATGTAATGAAAACAATTCAAAGAGATATTTTAAATTAATCAACAAATCTTAATCTCTAATTTAAAAAAAATAAACTATAGAATCTTAACTAGCAAAGCTTTGAAACTCACCTTCTGAGGCATCATCTTGCTGGTTGCAAAGGAAGAGATGCTCTGAAGATCCCTCAGATTGCAATGGTATTTATATTCTTTCGAACTTCTCACGTGATTGTGAATCATCTATATTCGAAAAGTGTTTCATACAAAAAAGAATGGGAAGATCAGCTGGCTCGTTACATATTTTTAGAAAACACGAATGACAAGAACAAGAAATTTATCAGTAAAGTGAAAGGTGAGAGATGGATGATACAATTTTGAAACATGAATTGCTTTAAATCTGGTTTTTACTATAACCTATTTCTCGAAGGAATACAGGAAACCACCTGAATTTATTACTTTTATTTTAACCTTAACTATATTTATAACAAAGGGGTTTTCAGATTTGTGATAGGGAAGATTACAATGTTCTTCAACCAAAGGATATCAAATTTTTTTTATGCTTAAATGTATCAAATCCCTTCTAAAAATAAATTTATTGAATTAAATATTGTTACGGGAAAATAATATAAAATTATAAANTGCTTGATTGTCTTATACTTTTTTAATTCATTATTTATTTATTTTTGCTGATGTAATAGGTTAAAAGCTCAAAAAATTAAGATTAATTAATTTATGTTTTAATATGTTTATTTTAAAAATCAATAACCGTTAATAGGCGTAACTTCTCGTTATCCTTGAAAATCGCTCATGACTATTCTTTATACTTGTACTGTACAAATTGCTTGATTGTCTTATACTTTTTTAATTCATTATTTATTTATTTTTGCTGATGTAATAGGTTAAAAGCTCAAAAAATTAAGATTAATTAATTTATATTTTTATTAGTTTCTGTAATTGAACCGCAAGTAGTGTTTGGTGATTTATCCACTCGGTCACTGGTAAGCCGTAGAAACATAATTGTTATCCAATGCATTTCTATTCAAAATAACAGAAAAATTACGAAATAAATTGTTTTAATTATAAGAATTTATTAGAAAATTAAAAAGAAAATACAAAGTTTATGTTCAGATCTATGAAGAACTAAACATCTTTTCAGATGAAGACATTAAAGAAGTAAAATTGCCAATTCATTTCGACATTCTAAAATATAAATTTAAAATATTAAAATGCATTTATAAATGTTTAAAAACATTCAAAGTAGCTTAATTAAGTAATAACTCACATTATCTATTTAAGAATAAGAGGTGAAATAAGTCTTGAAGAAGGAACAGTCAGAGGGGACCAAGCCAGAGGCAGAGGAAGTTGCAAGGGTGAAAGAGCACTTCTTACAATCACAGTTCCACTAACTACATAAATAGCTATGAAGCACAACACTAAAAGATACTAGAAAAATAAATTATACATTTATTTATTCAAAAATTGTAAATGTTTGCTTTAATTATTGTCTTACTATAAAAAAATTTAAGAAATTTGATAGAAAGTCTTCAAAAAATTATATTGGTTCTCTGCGTTTTTTGACACTTTTCCGTCCTACGGTCATTGAGGCCCTTTTCCAAGTCTGTCATGGGTTTATCCATGCCACAATAGTGTGGCCGGATGGCGAGGGATGGAGCCTGACAGAACGACCCTCCCGAAATATTCCTGGAGTGCTTTGTCTGTCGAGATTAGATCTCGGGTTTCAGAGCAGTAGGCTTACTGTCTCGTCTAAAACTAGCCATAACGGATTTATCTACTTAAAATTACTTGAAAATTGTTAGTTAATAAAATTTTTGCTTTAAAATTGAATTTCTCAAACATTTAATTATATAATAACAACACAGGAATTTGACAATTTAAAAAATTCATTAAAAATATACAATTTTATGACATTTTAAAATAATTTCACATTTTATAACTTTTAATAATGAATTATTTATTACAGTTGAACATCCAATAACAACCACCTCCCAACAACGGCCATCTCTAAAAGCGCCCGGTTTTTTAGAAACTTTTTTATATTTTTAAACAAGAATGCATACAAAATAACTACCAAACAATAGTCAGAGATTTGACCGTCGTTCAGAGGTTTCACACAAAATATAAAAATTCCATACGTGTTTTTAAAAATTTATAACAACTGAAGAGTTAAAAAACAAATCTATTTTTATAGCGATTAAGTTTTCATGCTTCAAAGATGATACTTTTAAACAGGGTTAACATGCTTAATCTTCATGTTTTAATCATATTAATTTGAAATTCTGAAAACTTGTCATCTAATTTACATTTATGTAAACAAGAAAATCATTTCACTTTATAATCACATAAAAAAAGGCAATTCTTATGCAGGAAAGTTAACGTTGCTTGTTAACTCTTACAATTCAACTGTTCAGTCGTATTTATCTTAAATTTTAGTATATGTAATTAATAATTTTGTAAGTTTATAGAATAAAAATTAAAATCATCATATGCTTCTTCGAATACGAGATTTCTTTGTCTGTAGGTTGAAGGAAAAAGTGCTAACACTATAAATACGGGGTGGCCTAAAAATCAATTAAAGATTTCAGATAAAAATTTCCCTATTCAATAAACACCTTACAACATTCTAATACATTGCTACGAATTTTCAGTTACAACAGTTTTCGTTGTCCTGGTCTGTAAACAATTTTTGGTACACTAAGTTATGGATTACCTTATGTTGTATGCAATGCTGATGGCTCACATCTTATAGTTACACTATATATATTATTTGTAATATGTAGGAATACAGTAGGCTTATATGCAGAATAAAATGTATATGTCTTAGTTGCAAATACATGTTTATAGGATAAATTTATATCAATTTGACATTATTATATTTTCATTTTAGCAGTATTAAGGATGAAATTGATGTTAAGTTGAATATAAAAGTGGATACTGTTTAAATTAAATCACTTCGATAGCGTTTTACAGTAGAATAACATGGAGTGAAGTGATGTGTAAGTAATACAACACTCGGACAATCTGCCAAGGAAACTTGCCCCTATTTAGGTGCTATACACGTGAAGAAAACCCGGAAAACTGTCTGTTGACAAGGCGTGAATCCTCGACTAACTACCAGTGTTCAGTGATGTTATCCACTTAGTCATTGGTGGATGTAGAGTAACATGAGATAAATATTATATTTAGATGATGTTAATCGTGTTACTATTTAACCTTAAATTTTAACAAAAGTTATGTCATTAATACAAAAAGTTATGAAAATAACGAATTATTTTTGAAAGAAAATTGTTCTTTATAAACTGGATCATATTTGAATCTCTAGAACAAATTGATAATTGAGGTTTCTTCCTATATATTTATTTAAGTGTGAGAAACAATTACTACATTGTATTTAGGCTATATATTTATACATAACATATTAATGCAAAGTAAATAAAGTCGTAGCCTACAAAAATAAAGTGGAACACACAACAAATTTATCATTTTTCATACATACAACGAACTTTTATAGAAAGATTTTAAATCTATTTAATGAAGTAAAATAATTAAAATATTGAAAATAATATTTTACACTAAAGATTTATTTATTCTTAAATCTACTATTGCTTAAATTACTATTAAAAATTTAAATTATATATAATTAAATTTAAATATTTATTTAAAAATGATTAATACGTCGTTAAAGTAGTAGTAGTGTTTTAACTCGATTACATCATGTGTCACCTTTTTGTGGGTCAAATATATGACAATTTGCTGGTCCATATAGATAAATAAATGTTTACAACGTCAAATAATTGTCAAATTCACTTATTTTATTTTAAAAACAAAATTCATAAATGAAAAAATTGAATTTATTAAGTGACTGTTATGCTCATTTTTCTTCTTTTAAAAGTTATATTTGAAGAAGTAATTCATTGAGTTATATGAAACCAAGTTTACTCTTTGAAAAATATAATAATTAATTATTATTATATATAAATTAACAAAATTTATTATTTAGGTATATGGTTTGGCTTGGTGGGATACAGCAATACAAAAACATGGGCAATCTACCAAGAATGATGAGGACTTTCTATGGAAAACTGGACACTATTTAGCTGTTAGATACATGGAAAATTCCACATAATAACCCTTTGGTGGGGCGCGAACCTTACACCAACTATCAGTGTTTAGTAATTTTAACCATTGCTCACTGGTGAGCTTTTAGGAATACACTACATCTAACTGTAAACTTATCAATATTTAAATATTTTTGGGATATTTAAGAATTTGAATACATCTACTTATTATAATTAGTTACAGTATCGGCCAGAAAGAAGTAACACTTGGTCCAGACCAGTCACCTTCTTATATGGACTTTGCTCACTGAAAACCATAAAAATATACAGATAAAAACATTTTTTCTCCAGTTATCAAAATAAATTTGTACCGTTTTCAGTCATTTTTTACATAAAATAATACATTTTTAAGTTTCTTTGTGTCCGGCGTTCTCTGAACCTTTCTTTACATGGTTAAAAGTAATTAGTTACTAAGCTCAGTTATCAGATTTATAATTACAATTAATGTAAAATTTTAAATTAAGAATTGAATTTTTAAGCTGCTATTTAAATCCTTTTAATTTAAAAAATGTAAGAAAATGTATTTAATACGAGTGGCGAAAGACGGGTCTTCAGTATTCGACTTTTCCCATTACAACCTATCAGATGCCTTGATGACTATAGAGAAGGCTCCTGGTTATTGGGCTAAGATTTTTAAACTGCAGACATCCGTTATCGGTCTGTCCGTCTTTTTTTTAATCTTGAGATTGAAGTTAGTTGAAACTCGAGACTAGATGTAGAAAGCTTAGGGTCAAAAGCATTGTATGAGTTAAATCAACATACAACTATAATAATATACGATTAACTATATACGAACTTCAGGTCTGGACCGAACTTCAGGTCTGGATACGGAACAAATCTCAACCAAATTTGGTATAAATACTGTCCTAAATATACGGTTTTGATTTTCTTGAAAATATTTTGCTTCAAAATTCGCCCTAACAGTTGAATTTTGAAGTAATTTCCACATTATATTACAAGTACTGTACATTTGCTAACGCATTTCGGGATTTAAGAAACAAAGTGTGATTACAGCTGTGTAATGTGGAATGTAGAATGTGGTAATTACACAGATATAATTATAGATGTAAAATGTGGAATTAATTATTAGAACAATTTATTTAACAAGTAACCCACGATCTTGACTGTTCACGAATCGAAAAGTTACAAAGAACCTTTTATTTCTGAAATTTCTTAGAAAACGTATATAATATGCACATTAAGATGAGATTGGCGAAATATTTCTGGATTTCAAAGAAAAATTTTTCCCTCGAAAATCGAAATCGCACAATCAGGACAGTATTTATACCAATTTAGTTGAGATTTACTCAAGAGTAATTTATCCTGGTATTTATTCTATTAAAATATTTTCTTCTCAAACATTGTTTATGTTTGAGAAGAAAATATTTTAATAGAATAAATACCAGAATAAATTACGTTGATTTAACTCATACAATGATAACTCATACTACAGAGATTAAAAATAACATTAAATTGCATACAGTTTTGTGTTTCTAATAAAAAAATAAATAGTAAAACACAAGAGTACACACAAATATTTTTAAACATTTATTTACAGAATGACTCTCTACAATATATTCTATGTTAAAAATTCTGTTTGAATTCTGTACAACTTTGAATTAAAAATATTCCCGAATTCTGTAGTTCTTTCGAAGGGGCACCAAGATATGTTACAAAGAAAGTTTTTCTACTGTTCGGAAGTCTCCTTTTTTTTTACTGAAATTGTATACAAAGGTTAAAAACACATTTAAAATTTATACAAATCTATATAATTATTTTAAGAATTTACATACATTGGAATATTAAGCAAATTATCTCTTAATATCCTCCTCCACCTCCTCCACTACCACCATATCCGCCACCTCCTCCGCCACTTCCACCATATCCGCCACCTCCGAATCCACCACCTCCGCTTCCTCCGAAGCCACCTGCTCCTGCTTTTATGTGTGTTACACCAACGCCGAGAAGTGTGACGCCATTACCGCCACTTCCACCCCCTCCGTAACCACCTCCGCTTCCACCACCTCCGTATCCACCGCCGCCACCTCCATATCCTCCGCCACCACCTCCGTATCCACCGCCTCCGAATCCACCACCTCCGAATCCGCCACCTCCGAATCCACCACCACCACCACCTTTGCCTAAGCCGAGTGCCAAACTAACGGGAACGGCAAGAAGAACGGCGTGTTTTCCACCACCTCCTCCTCCTCCTCCACCATAACCTCCACCACCACCTCCAAATCCTCCGCCACCTCCGTATCCACCACTACCACCACCATAGCCAGATTCAGCTGCCAACAAGTCAGCTAATTCAGCCACACTTTTCTCTTTTTTCTTAGCTGAAGCTGCTAAGAATAAAATGCTAAAACTAAAGACGATGAAGACCTGCAACGGATAATTTGAAGTTAGATTCATTCCAAAATATTTTATATAGTACAGTAAGTTAAATATTATATTTACCTTTTGAGGCATCATCTTGCTGATTGGAGTAGAAGAGATACTCTGAAACTCCAGCAAATTGCCATCACATTTATACTCTCACTGACTTTTCACGTGACTACAACAAACTTCATCCAAAAACTGTTTTGACCAATAAAAAATGAAGACTCTTAGGTGATCATCCGATTATATTTTTGGAAACGTAAATGACGAGGGCATGGGATTTGTTTTAAAGGGAAAGGTGAGAGATGGATGATGCACTCTGTAACGTCTATTCTACCAGTTCTGGTTACGTTTTAACCTATTTCTACGAAGGAAATTATTTTAAATTTATCCCTTAAGCGTAACCTTAACTATATTTATAACAGAAAGGTTTAACATAATCTGTTTTCATCCAGTTACTTATCTAGGAGCGTAACTAGTGACATTACGTGAGGGTCACATTTTTCACTTTCCTGAACCCGAACCTAGATTTTTAACACTTTGTATTCATAAAAGAGTGAAAAGTCTGAATGATTTTCGTAAAAAGTATTACTTAAAATGATTCTAAAGTTAAAAACAACCTCTTTGACAGGATTAAACTCTACAAAGATAGGTTCTTCACATTGACATAAATACAAGAATTGGATATTAATTCAAAGATTTTGACATCATAAAGTATTTTTATTTGCAGAAAATTCACAAATGTAACCAGATAAACATAAACATACAAAATTACTTCTGTATTATGAAGTGATTATTATAAACAATTTAAGTATTTTATACTTTTAATTACAAATAAGCTGAATAAGACGAAAATTGATGATTAATTCATACAGAATCTATAGAATAACACTATAGAATAGAATCTACAATTTATAAATTAGATATTAATAAATAAATAATTATAATTAAATTAACGTTTTATTTATAATTTTTAATTATAAAATGCAGACTTTCTTTTTAAACTATTTTCAAAAATAATTTAAATTTAGAGAATTTAATTAATGTTTTGCACGCTCAGTAGTCACGAAATCTTGAAAACTCATCAAAATAGAATATTTTAAAAATAATTTATTATATAAATGTTTCTTACATTATATATTACTTTTTACCATAAGTATAAATACAGCACTTTTAAAAAATATATAAAATAAATCATTTTTTACTGTCTGAAATATAAATTTTAATTAACATTGACACATAAAGTTCACAATAAATAAATTGTATATTAAATTCTAGTAGATGTAATCAATAAATAGCATCAATTAGATTATTATTAAGTAACCAATGACCTTCATTAAGTCACACTATAATCATGTTAATCAAGGTTATCATGAGTAGCATCGATACTGTTCGTAACACTAATAATAAAACCTGCCCTACATGTTATTTTATATATAAATATACAAAGTAGAGCTTTGACCCACTAAAATCTGGATATGTTGCTAATATTTAACAGCAACTAATTAACAAGTTTGTAAATAAATAGCAATTTTCGTTGTTAAATATGTTTAATATTAGTTCATTAGCTAATGTTTATGAATAAACATTACGCAAAAAGCATTAAAAATTCATTATTTTTATTGAAAATGTATTCTTGAAAATCTAAAAATGCTAAAATTTTGCTTCCAAATGTTTAAAAAAGCCAGCAAAGAGTTGCTTAACTTTCCTGACAACATTTAAAACTGCGTGTGACGCCATCTGTTATGATACATTATCAATAAACTTTTTATAGTTTTAATTATTATAAAATGACAAACAGGTTAATTTTGAATTTAGGGATGAGTTTTATATAAAAAAAGATTTCTGCTTCTAACACAATAAAGTGCTATAAATTAAGACACTTGGCGGTTTTTCTCATCTTTATTTAGTTGAGAAAAACCGCCAAGTGTCTTAATTTATAGCACTTTATTGTGTTAGAAGCAGAAACAAATTTCAAAGAACGGTTTCATACCGTTAAAAAAATTAAAATAAAAAAAAGAATTGTAAAGTCAGATCCTAACTCAAGATATAATACACAACCCCTCTATATCGAGAAAAAAACCCCCGACCGATCGGACGAGGTCGAGGTATGTCGATCAAGAAATAACCCCTCCCCCCCGAAAATTTTTACATTTTTGGACTCAAACGGTTCTTGAAACATTGAAAAAATACAATAAAAATCGGAGGGGTTCTGTGTGTATGGAAGTTAGTGTGTGAGGGGGCTACGATTTTGTTCACCCTATTTGAAACTTAATAACTCCCATGCTTTTTCTCAAAAATGTCTGAAATTTTGTAGGGAAGTTTGTATATTACGGGAATTGCTGCTATTAAATTTTGGTGGTTAAAGGTCGACAGGGTAGGGTCATTCATTCTTCAAAATTAAGTCTTTTGCCATTTTATAATAATTAATTGTATAAAAAATTTATTAATAAAATATCATAACAGATGGTACATCAAGCAGTTTTAAATGTTGTTGCCGGGAAAGTTAAGTAACTCTTTGCTGAATTTTTTAATATTTGAGTTGAATAAGATGAAGATAATTAATGGTGAAATATGCGCTCCGTAATAGTTTAATTGTTATAAATTTGAGCATATTTTGAACTAATGAAATTAAAATGAATATTATTTATAAAGTTAATTTTTAACCTCATTAGCAGAGCCGGATTTAGACTGATTGTGACCTGCACTGTAATACAAGTAAATCTTCAGCTATATTGTGTTATATAATATGTTATTCCGGCTCTGCTCGTTAGCCTAAAATAATTTTGTGATGGTTCTCGTGGACATGGTGTCACAAAATTTCAAAAATTAATGTTGATTTTTGCACATTTTTAAATATTATTCGTATATTTTTCATATAAAACCTGCAAAATCTACAAATTTATACACAAAAGAGCATCTTTGTTGGTATGTCACAGTAACTTTCCAATGTGTCAACATTAATTAAACTCTCTTGGACAATAGGTCAAGGAGGATGTCTCCCAGGAAGACTTTCTATAAGGAAATAGCACCTATTTAGATAAATGAAGAACATCCGGAAAACTTCATATGACTAGCACATTGGTCAGATACGAACCTACAAATGTTCAATGGTCTTATCCACACGACCACTGATATGTTTCGAGGAAAAGAACACGAAGAAAGATTGCATAGTTGATAAGGAAAGGCTTATCTTAGATTAGCATAGGACATAATCTTTCCTCATCAGTAGTTCTTTCACAAGATTAGACAATCTGTCATCCAAGAAGACGAAGTTGTAACTTATATTTAGTGTCGTAGAATCAATGATAATTGATATGTTTGTGCATTTCTATAATAACACAGGATAAATTTATATAAAGAGTCTATGGCCTATGACATATCAACTTACTATATCAATGCAATACTAAAATTAATTTATAAATCTAAACTATTTTAAATTTTATAGGTCACTGATGATATAAGGTTGTTGAATGTATGTTATTTGATGCATTATTAATAAGTTTTACTAAAAAAATAATTATAATCGAAATGATTTTAAAGCTATTTTGAGTTCTTATAAACTCGTTTGCTTCGAATCAAAACAAAATTTAATTTTATTTTCATTATTATTCGAAATTACGAGCTCTTAATTTGAAGTATAATTCACGTTATAGAAAAACTTTACAGCATAAACAAATGCGTAATCAAGCTGTTTCAATTTTTTTTAAAAATATTTTTTAGTTGAAACACGCGATAAAAATATAATACTTAAATTGTATATTTAAAAATAATTTAAATATCATAAAAGATGAGAATCTGACTAGTAATTTTTATCAAAAATTGTTGTATTGTTACAAAATTACAGTGTGCTAACACAATAATTTTGTAAAAATATGGGATATATGTAATATATTCAAAATATTATTGACACTCCGCAAATTTCTTTTTTAATAGACGAAAGAAGAAAGTAGTTTTAAACTTTCTAAAACTTATATATTATATACTATAAATCATATTTTATGTTTATATACATGTTATGTTCTCTGTTTATATAGATTTATTTCTATTTTAAAATAAATACAGTCTTAAAAAAATCACAAGACAAAATACCTTTGGAAACTATGCAAAAAATTATAATTATTGGAACGGTAATAAACTTTGTTATATTGAAACATTTTAATACTTTGTAGAGCTTCATTTTTATTTAATAACTGCTTTGTAATGACTTAATGCTTTGTAGAGATGTTTAAAACTAGTTTTTCACAGACTTTAGGGTCAATTTCATTCCATGCCAATTATATGAGATATTATCTGTTTCAACTCATCTTTGCTCTTAATTAGATTTTTTCTATTTCCTCCCACAGATATTCAATGGTATTTCGATCTGGTGACTGACCACACCAATTCAAAATGAAAAAATACTGAGATTTCAAATATTCTTTCATTACCTTAGTTGTGTGCATCAGTTCGTTGTGGTGTTGGAAGACAGAAGTAAAAAGCTTTTCAAGCGATAGTTTTTAGTATTATTATTTTTTCAAGTTATTGCCTACTTTCCCCCAGTGGATTTAAATTTATTAGGAATATTCTCTGTCAGAAGACTTGGATATTCCAAGATTTTCACCAATTTTACAAAGAATGTGCCATGTTTAAATTGTTTAATGACATAATTTTTAGTGTCATTAGACCATTCAATTTTTTTTGTAGCCAAACAGACTTAAAATTGTAAATCACCTTTTAACAATCTTGTTTTTTCTCCATTATTTATGCCAATAACTTTCATGCATAATTTTTAACAGTACAGGTAAGCCTCCTACAACGCGGTAGATACGTTCCTTGAAAATACCACGTTGTGGGAAATCGCATTATAGGAGACACCAACTTAATACAAAAACTGGGATTCGGTTCTAAAAAGAGAAAAACTTGGCGTTTGAATGGCGTTTTTTGAATTTTTCAAACCAGCCATTGCTGGCCACGAATTTAACACTGGTTTCATCAGCTGACGACTGTCCCATTTGTTTTAGATAATAAAATATTTTTAAGGCTTTGTGTTTAAGTGCAGTTTTATTTAAAGGCAACCGTTTCTTGTTCATATCTTCTACCCTTAATATTACCACTTGTTCCATTTTTTCCATTATAGGTGCTCTCGGAAGAGCAACATTTTTCGCGAGAATAGATGATCCGGATGCGACTAAATTTCTGATCTTTTCTCCCGACCGAATCGTCGACTCATTTAAAATAAAATGCCTATCGATGTCAACTATACGCTCTTGATATTTAATTCGATCCAAAATTTCTATCTTTCTTTGAAGAGTTATAAATTTCCTTTTTAACGACGGTCCTTTCTTTTCATTAGGCATTGTTATGGCTAAAATTTTTTCAATAAATTTTGTGGACAGTAAAAATCGCAAAAAAATAACTTCCTTTCACTAGTTGTTAAAAATATACATCCAATAGAAGTTTATACTGTATTTTGGACAATTTTTGCGGTCCTCACTTATTGAAAGAGTATAAATGATCGAAAATTTAGTAATATATTTGAGCGTTTACGGTAACTGATGCGCATCTGTCTAGAAACCGGTCTTTCCCTGAAACTTTCAAGGGAATGACCAACATGCCAACGTCCACAAACAGCTGTTTTCAAAGACTTTTAGCTCAATATGCCGAACTGTGGCTCGTATCATGTAATCCGTTGCGATTTTTCTGTTATGTGAAGATAATTCGTTTCTAAATACCGTAAACCGCGTTGTAAAAGTACCGTGTTGTAAGAAAATTTCCGCATTTTTCCAACCGCGTTGGAGCGAAAACGCGTTGTAAAGGTACCGCGTTGTAGGAGGCCTATCTATATTTCGTTTTGTGAGTTTTTTGAAGATTCTGTTTATTTTAAAACTGAAACCTTTGTGTCGTGCCAATAAGTTTTTTGTTGGGCAATATGCATATCTGATAAATATGCATATCTGATTAGGGAGCTGCATCACCCTTCTGGAAGTATACGGTATAAAAGATCGGAAGTGTTTGGAAGCTTTGTTTTTTGTTAAATAGTCATCGTAAAGTGACTCTATTTTAGTCAAATTTTTTACTTCTTATGATATTTACAATATACCCTCTTTTAATAGCTATTACACATTAACTGTTTTTGTTTCCAGGTAAACGTTATTTTTACATTAAAAAACACGATTTACAGGTATATGTAGAGAACTACTATACGTAACGCACATCCTCGATCAACCCACTTAACAATACTAAGGAACAATACACAGCACGGGATACAGAACGTTACGTTATTTCAAGTATAACGTACAAAGTAGTGACATAAACAGTACGATTCCCTACGTAACATTTCAGAAACAAAAATAAATCATTCTGTTACCTCAGGGTTGAAACCCTAGCTTAATTAATTAAGCTAGGGTTTAATGTAGTCTAAGCATACTGCTTAATAAATTAAGCAGTATGCTTAGACTACATTAAAATTTATTAGAAAATAGCTTAAGAATATAGTACAGTATTTTAAAAAATATATGCAAATCTTGGGAGAGATGGCCAACATTTTGGATATAGTTCAAGGTAGATATTGAAGTTGTCTAACGGAAAAGAAAACGTTTTTGGCTACGAACCTTTAAAAATTTATTCAAATTTGATGCAACTGAACTAAATTAGCGAATTGACATTCAAAGAAGTCTTTGAATGTTTTCAATTCATTGACATTTCTCCATGACAAACTTTTTAATAATAAATTCAGAAAGAATTTATTTTATTATTAAAATAAGGCTAGACAAGAAGAATGTTATAGTATTTATAGTAANTTACTAAAAAAATAATTATAATCGAAATGATTTTAAAGCTATTTTGAGTTCTTATAAACTCGTTTGCTTCGAATCAAAACAAAATTTAATTTTATTTTCATTATTATTCGAAATTACGAGCTCTTAATTTGAAGTATAATTCACGTTATAGAAAAACTTTACAGCATAAACAAATGCGTAATCAAGCTGTTTCAATTTTTTTTAAAAATATTTTTTAGTTGAAACACGCGATAAAAATATAATACTTAAATTGTATATTTAAAAATAATTTATTATATAAATGTTTCTTACATTATATATTACTTTTTACCATAAGTATAAATACAGCACTTTTAAAAAATATATAAAATAAATCATTTTTTACTGTCTGAAATATAAATTTTAATTAACATTGACACATAAAGTTCACAATAAATAAATTGTATATTAAATTCTAGTAGATGTAATCAATAAATAGCATCAATTAGATTATTATTAAGTAACCAATGACCTTCATTAAGTCACACTATAATCATGTTAATCAAGGTTATCATGAGTAGCATCGATACTGTTCGTAACACTAATAATAAAACCTGCCCTACATGCTATTTTATATATAAATATACAAAGTAGAGCTTTGACCCACTAAAATCTGGATATGTTGCTAATATTTAACAGCAACTAATTAACAAGTTTGTAAATAAATAGAAATTTTCGTTGTTAAATATGTTTAATATTAGTTCATTAGCTAATATTTATGAATAAACATTACGCAAAAAGCATTAAAAATTCATTATTTTTATTGAAAATGTATTCTTGAAAATCTAAAAATGCTAAAATTTTGCTTCCAAATGTTTAAAAAAGCCAGCAAAGAGTTGCTTAACTTTCCTGACAACATTTAAAACTGCGTGTGACGCCATCTGTTATGATACATTATCAATAAACTTTTTATAGTTTTAATTATTATAAAATGACAAACAGGTTAATTTTGAATTTAGGGATGAGTTTTATATAAAAAAAGATTTCTGCTTCTAACACAATAAAGTGCTATAAATTAAGACACTTGGCGGTTTTTCTCATCTTTATTTAGTTGAGAAAAACCGCCAAGTGTCTTAATTTATAGCACTTTATTGTGTTAGAAGCAGAAACAAATTTCAAAGAACGGTTTCATACCGTTAAAAAAATTAAAATAAAAAAAAGAATTGTAAAGTCAGACCCTAACTCAAGATATAATATCGGAAGTCTCCTTTTTTTTTACTGAAATTGTATACAAAGGTTAAAAACACATTTAAAATTTATACAAATCTATATAATTATTTTAAGAATTTAC